AAGTCTTTCCAAATACTGTCTAGTTATCATGCAGCCCACAACTTTCAAGGAAACAAAAATGAATGATATGGTTATGTTTATTGTAAAGCAGGACCATTTTGATAGTAAAATATGACAGTCATTTATCTGTACCCTAAGTTACTTATTACTGTATCTAAAGGAAGCAATGGAAATAATGGACTTAAAAATTGTCTTTAAGTTATATTTTTCTTCACTTTATGTTCATCCCTTTCCCATTTCTGCATTTCTCTCATTCCTTTGTCTTCTCTTTTATTTGGCACTAATGATCTAGAGAGTTATAATAAAGGTAAATAAAAATAGCGGAGAGATGATAATGGTAGGCAATTGCCAAGGATAGTGATTTATAAGGTATAGTTTTGTTTGATTTTTAGAAAGCTGTGCTAGCATTACATTAAATCTTGAGATTAAGTGATCACAGGATGTGGCAGTTTTTTAAAAATTTTAAACATATTTTCTAGCATAGCTATAAATTAAAAATATCAAATCTAAAGCATACAATGAAGTAAAGTTAGCCTCTTCAATAAAAGGTGTTGGGAAAGTTGGACAGGTACGTGCAAAAATATGAAACTACACCATCAACTTATACAATACACAAAAATAAACTAAAAAATGGATAAAAGACTTAAATGTAAGTTGTGAAACCATAAAAAATCCTAGAAGCAAAATCTCAGACATCTCAGGTAGCAATGTTTGCCAATAAATTACTCAGGGCAAGAGCAACAGGAGAAAATAAACAAATGGGACTACATCAAAATAAAAAACTTCACAGCAAAAGTAACCATCAACAAAATGAGAATGGAGCCTACTGTATGGGAGAACATTTGCTAATGATATATCTGATAAAGGGTTAATATCCAAAATATATAAGGAACTCACACAACTTAACAAAAGGAAGACAAACAATCCAATGGAAAAGTGGACAAAGTACCTAAATAGATACGTCTTCAAAGTGGGCATACAGATAGCCAAGAGATATATGAAAAAATTCCTCTCTGAAATAAATTTAAACACACACACACACACACACACACACACACAAAGAAGAAGGGAGAGAGAGATAGAAACATTAATGATGAGAGAGAATCATTGATTGGCTGCCTCTTCATGCTCCATACTGGGAATTGAGTCCCCAACCTAGGCATGTACCCTGACTGGGAATTGAACCGTGACCTCCTGGTTCATAGGTCGATGCTCAACCACTGAGCCACGCCAGCCAGGCTCCCTTCCTTTCTGAAATCAATAAAAATATATTTTAAAAAATAGATGAGTGGATGAAAAAGCTGTGATACAGTGACACCATGGAATACTATGCAGCAGTAAAAAAAGATCTCTTACCCTTTGAGACAGCATGGAGGGGTCTGGAGAGTATTATGCTAAGTAAAATAAGCCAGTCAGAGAAAGACAAGTATCACATGATCTTGCTCATATGTGGAATCTAATGAACAAAATAAACTGATGAACAAAATAGATCCAGAGACATAGAAGCATGGAATAGACTGATGAAAGGCAGGGGTGGGGTGGGGTGGGGTGGGGAGAGATTAACCAAAGAATTTGTATCCATACTAGAGGCCTGGTGCGTGGATTTGTGCATTGGTGGGGTCCCTCGGCCTGGCCTGCACCCTCTCGCAATCCAGGACCCCTCAGGGGATGTTGGACTGCCAGTTTTGGCCTGATTCCTGCAGGCCAGGCCAAGGGACCCCACCGGTGCACAAATCTGTGCACTGGGCCTCTACTATGCATATAAGATCTTTGGTTAATCTCTTCCTACCCTTCCCCCTTCATTAGAGGCCTGGTGCATGAAAATTCATGCACACGGGGGCTCCCTCAGCCCAGCCTGTGCCCTCTCACAATCTGGGATCCTTGGGGGATGCCCACCTGCTGGCTTAGGCCTGCTCCCCAAGAACAGATGTGCCCTCTCCCTCTACACCGCCCCCCCCCCCCCACACACACACACTCTAGGGACCAAGCACTCCAATGTGTCCCATTGAGCTTCTTTCACTGGCTTGATGTGAAAAAATGACACTTTTTCCACACCCCTCCTGCTTTGGAGAAGTATGAAAACCAGCACAACTCTTTTCAAAGAGATCCTTTGGCAATTTTCTCTCTACTCTTCATGCCTGTGTGTTGGCTTTAGAGCTATCTAACTGGTTCTCGGACATATCACTGTGGAAATTTATAACAGAATAGTCTTTTTTCACAAGTTATATTACTACTGATTGCTAATAGTATCTGGATGCCTCTATTAAAAAAATTCCAATTTAATATACTGTTTTATTTAGAAGACAACTCAGAATATCTCTTAGGAATCAGTTTCTGTTTTTCCCTTTAATAAGTTGAATTTAAACATTTTTCCTTTTTTATCATATGATAAAGTACATGAAAAGCCTAGGGAGAAAAAAAAGCAAAAAAAAAAAGCCTAGGGAATTTTTGGTGGTTTAATCTGAATAAATAATCATACTTCTTATACAGGCTAAATAAAAACTATTTTGGCTTTTTAAAGTAGTATCGTCTCCTCCTTCCCTTTTTTTAATCCTCACCTGAGGATATGTTTTTTTATTATTATTATTTATTTTATTTTATTTTTTTTAGAGAGAGAGAGGTAAAACATCAATGTAGGAGAGAAGCATTGATCAGTTGCCTCCCATATGTGCCCCAACCTGGGAATCGAACCCAAAACCTAGGAATGTGCCCTAAACAGGAATCGAACCTGCAACTTTTTGGTGTACAGGACAACACTCCAACCAACCGAGCCACCTGGCCAGGGTTTATATCTTCCCTTTGAACTACCACATTGTACATTTAAGTAGATACCCCTCAAGGCAGACCCTAAGCATAAAATGCTATAGGACACATTTGAAACGGAAAGTAACAGGACAAGGCTGGCCTCATTTTGTTGCTGGAGTTGCTTTTTTCATTCTGAGTTAAACTATCATAAATGTAAATTAAAAGAAGCTATTAGCTTTTCCTGTTAGCCTTTTATAGGTTAATTTTAAAATTTAACAAAAGACATATTACAGAAAATAAGTATTTAATGTTTTTCACTCCCTTTAGCTTCATAGCTTCTTTTCCCAACCCATCTGCTTCTGCCTACCATAATATATACATTGCCATTGTGCTTGAATTGGTTTGGTCTGGGTAGAAATTTTAGTAATCACTGTAAAGTGCAATTTTCTTTTCAAGAAGTATCAATTCAGGAAAATCTATATAGGAAGTTTTGACTAGCTGCATTTTTCCTTCCAAAAGGAAAATAGGATTATTGAGACCCAAGGAAACCTTAAATGGTATCAATAGATCACCTACTTAATTGAATGCCACTGAAAAAATTGACCCTACAAAAATGTTATCACAAAGGCACCTTTCCAAATTTTTATAGAGTCTTAGATTATGAAGATGCTTATAGGAATAACCTCTTTCCTTGTCATAGTCCCCAGAGGATTATTATTATTATTATTCCTACGTCACAAATGGGAAACAGGTTTAAAGGTGAAATTATTTTCCCAAGGGCAAATGGTAAGTTGGCAGTGTAGGTGAGGAAGAAACTTTACTCTTTACAGTTCTATTAGTCTAATAATTAAATTTACATGAGACAGATTAACAAGAGAAAATAAACGAATTTAATTACATATGTATGTATGGGAACCTCACGTACATGGGAGAGTCAGATACCCCACAAACACAAGAGGTTCAGAGACAGAAAGTTAAAGGAGGTATAATATGGCATTCTGAACTAAGGGTGAGGTAAGGCAACTTGGGGCTGCCGAGGGGAAGAAGGTCATTTAAGGATGAAAAGTAGAGCAGATGTTCAGTAATTAGATGTTTTCCAAGTCCTCGAGATAGGGGGGGGGGGGGGGGGGAAGTAATCTCTAGTAATAACTCCTTTAATGGGCAAGGCCCCAAATTTAAATTCTTTGAGGAGAGATTTAAGTTTCTCACAAGCCTGCAGGGTCTCAATTTGCCATCAACTCAAAATAATTCACATGCTAAAGTGGCACACTTTGGGGAGGCCTGTTCTGAACTTCCTCAGCAGCAAAGCTGGGTCTAGAAATAGTTGAGTCCATTCAGTGTACGATTTATAGTTCTAGTATACTAGAGACCCGGTGCTCGGATTCATGCGCCACTGGGGTCTCTCGGCCTGGCCTACGGGGATGGGGCTGAAACCCACCTGGTGCACGGATTCATCCAGGGTGTGTCGGGCCTGTCTCGCCCAGTCCCGATGGGGGCTGATGGGGCAATCAGGGCTGATAGGGGTCTGTTGGATGGGGAGGGACCATGGGAGGTTGGCTGGCTGGGGAGGGACCAGGGAGAGAGCTCCAGGGCGTGTCCGGCCCATCTTGCCCAGTCCTGATAGGCCAGACCCTAGCAGCAAACTAACCTACTGGTCAAAGCGTCTGCCCCCTGGTGGTCAGTGTGCCTCGTAGTGACTGGTCTAACAGTTGAATAAACGGACAGACACTTAGCATATTAGCTTTTGTTATATAGGATTATAGTGTATATGTTGGAGATACAGAAATCAATCAATGAATGGAAGACAGATACTCCATCTTATTCACAACTTCTCCCAGTATGTCTATAGGGTCTCCTGTCTACTCCTCCTGCTCATTTTACCTGGATGGGTAGGGTGAAACTTGGAACTGTAATCTGAAAGGTCTTCAGTTCAGTCTGGCTGGTTTGGTTTAATCATCTGCACGTTGGCCTCCTGGGACCCTGCCTCTCTCTGTCTTCTCCCACGAAATAGTCGTCACCATTATTCTCTAGTTCTGTCTCTGAGGTTGACGCTATTGTACTAGGGCAAGTAATTGTTTTGATTTTTTTCCCCTCCTTCAATACCTTTACCCTCTATGAGTTTAACTGTAGGATTATATTTAGATTGAAAGCCATATTGAAAAATTAGGTAGACAGGGACCTTATAGATGAGAACTTTCACTCCTGCAAGTGCAGTAAACTTGATGTGTAGACCATCTGTTACCTTTGTTTCCTAGGTAATATGCACGTGTCGCTAGCTGAGGCCCTGGAGGTTCGGGGTGGACCCCTTCAGGAGGAAGAAATATGGGCTGTATTAAATCAAAGTGCTGAAAGTCTTCAAGAATTATTCAGGAAAGGTAGGTCTTCTTTTTCTTTTCTTAATTTTGAATATTGGGTAGCTGAAAATTGATAAAGGGGCAGAGTGTAGAAGAATACTTTCCTTACCTCTCTTAGGGCTAAAAAAGCTCAGATTTTTTTTTACCTTTATTTGAACATCTTTGATGTGCCTGATACTGTGCTAGGGACTAAAATATAATGATGATCAAAATAAAAAAAAATGTTCTCTGTAGGGAGTTTATAGTCCAGTGTGGAAAACAACTATTAATAAAATATTTATAATAAACAAATGTAAAAAATTCAACCATGACAAGGCTACATAGGAGAGGATCCAGGGATTCTATGAGAACTCATAGTAGGAGAATTTGACGTGGTCATGGGAAAGAAAAGAAAGGCCTCCCTGCATATATCAAGCTAAGACCTGAAAGGAAAGGAGAGGTTTACCAGGTTAAGGAGGTTAAGGAGGAGGGGAAAACATTCCTGGCAGAGAGAATAATATGTTTATCCCTGTAACTCTAAATTGGAATAATGTATACTGAATAACTTACTTGGTGCTTCCCTGTGGAGGTAGTCACCTGCTCCAAATGGTCATGTGGCATTTTGGAGCCGGAAAAATGAAGGAGTCACCCATTGGTTGACCAAAAACATTTGATATCATGCTGAAAAGTTCCATGTGAAGCTTTTACACCATATCAACAACACCTGTTTAGAACAGAAGGTAAAGAATCAAACTTCATCTTTGATTGGAATGAATTAATCAGGCACAATAAACAAACATAGATGAGGTTATAATTCTGCAAGTTTGGTCCCTGGATGAGTAGCATTGGCATCACCTTGCGAACGTATTAGAAATGCAAATACTTAGGCCTACTGTAGACCTAACTGAATAAGAAATTCCTGGGGGTACAGGCCAGCAGCTTGTGTTTTAACAAGTTTTTAAGGATATTCTGATGCATTTTATGTTTGAATTACTTACTAACGGCATGGGGACCTTTTTGGAAGTTGTAGGGGTGACCATTGATTGAGTACAGATTGGGGACAGATGGTAAAGTTTGTCATCATTCTTGATTTGCTGTTATTTTCCCATCCAGGGACTGGAACTTAAACAAAACAGTGTTAGCTCCCACCCAATTCTGCTGTAACTGGATGTTTGATTAGAATTAGGATAAATCTAAAGAAAAGTAATTCCTTTTATTTAATGCCACTTACCTAAAATCCAGCTATTTTAATAGACCTTGTAGCTTTGTTTGCTTTATTTTAGTTTTTTTCAGAAAATTTGAAAGGATAGGCAGGCACTCTAGACTATAAAACAGGTAGCCATGCTCCAAAGGTGTTGTTGAAGAAAGGGTATGTTGGTGGCATTACTCAGTTAATTAACAATAGTCAGTTAATATTTAAGAAACATTGAGTTGTGAGGTATTGCATGGAAGATCCTGATAAGAAGTTACTGTTGCCCTTAAGGGATTTATTCAAATCAGATGCATATGAAACAGAGTGCCAAATGAGTGATAGAGACAATAAGAATTACAGATGTTCCTTCAGAGGAGGGAGAGATAATACCTTTTTATTATACTAATGGCAGGATCACTGCCCTAGCCATGACTCAAGGAATAGAAGCATCTTGCATACTCTTGAGTACTCTTTCTTTCAAATTTCATAATTTAATAGAGATTGAGTGTCTGATTGTAAAGTACTTGTCATTATTGCATAACATATTGGCACGTTACAATAAAGAGACTTACTGGATGTGTTATAAAATTAATTGTAAGGCAGCTATGTCCTAAACACTGTCCATGGGAGTTGGTTACCATAGGCCTTCAGTCCAGTTCACAGAATAGCATCAGTAATATAGACAAATTGAATTTGGATTCCTTGGCCATCTGGAGATTACCAACTATTAGGACTGCCAGTTGGAAATTTCTATTTTGGAGGAAAATTTTGCTTATGTGATTGAGTTTCTCTGAAATCTAGGATTTTTTATTTCTTGTATTTGATAGCACACTGTCATTTTTTGTCACAAGTATTTTTTTTTCCCTTACTGACCTGAAATAAAATACAGGTTTCCCCTTCTATATGAAAGCAGAGCATTCCTATGAAAATTCAGCTTTTGTTAAGCTGAAATATGTAAATCAAAGAAGCTAGTGCCATTAATTTGTATGGAAAAAATTTTTAGTGTTTCCAGATCTCCCAATAACCTACCAAATCATGCCAAATATGTTTAATTACATCTAGTTTTATGTTAACACCTTTACAAGTTCTCTTAGGCTTTTCTGATTACCTTAGAACACACTTTTATAACGGATATACAAGGTAAATGGAGATAAAGCACAGATGCTCACAGATACAGTTCAAAGCCGTGAGAGCTTGATGCTGAGTGTGGTTCCCAGGTGTTATAGAACAGAGAGTTCATCCACACGGCACTGACAGCCAAACACCAAAAATGGAGAATTGCAGTGGAGGCGCCATCCAGGAGACCAGCAAACTGGTGCTCCAAAGCCCGAACTCCCCACGACCGGGTAGCTTACAGAGTATATAGGGCAAAATCGCAAGACACTGTGGGTTAGGGCTTCGGGGTCATGCTGGGAACTGATTGGTTAGAGGTGAGGAAGAGTAATCATTTATTTCTATCTTGAGGACAGTTTTGAGATCTGTTCCCTTGTTCCTCCATCCAGTCTCATGGGAGAGTAGCCAGGGCCGGGGGGCCCTTCCACCTTAGGACTCAGGCACTGATACATAACAGCTCAACATGTTATCTTTAGCTGGCCAGAGGTCTAGACCTTGTGACCAATATTAGTCAGATCCTGGCTGCTATCTTCTGCTGCCCCCAGAGTTGCTGATTATCCAGGGAAAAGACTATGTCTCTGAGAGATAGAGAGAGAGAGATGATTTCTGAAGCTAGGATTTAAAGCTAAATTTAATCAACATCGTAAGGACCCTCAGGTTCACTGGGAAGAGCTTGGCAGTACCACTCTCACTGCCCAGGTGCCCTGCCTCTGTAATGGCTCTCTGCAAGACAAATGCCGAGTGCTGTATTTTCACCTTTTTTGGTAAAAGCTAAAATCCTCTTTGGATTTCTTTCAGTTAGCAAAGACAGGTATTAATATAGATCTTTAATAAAAGCCAAGTGGAGTAAAACAGACTTTCAAAAAGCGGGGATACATATATTAGTTTGCTTATTTTGTGTTTCTGTAGTAAACACCTTTATGAATAATGACTAGTATTGTTAGTGAAATAAAAGCAGATGAAATACAATGGTCTCTAAGAATTTTTGTTTTTCTAAAATTTGTTTTCTTCTCTTTTCTGTATCTAGTTTTGGTTCTTAGAAATGGCTTTTTCTTCCTTTTTGTTTTTGTGGTATTTTTTTGTTTGTTTGTTTTTTTGTTAATTCTCATCCAAAGATATTTTTCCATTGATTTTTAGAGAGTGGAAGAGAGAGGGAAAGACATAGAGAAACATTTATGTGAGAAACAACGATTGGTTGCCTCTTGCACAAGCCCTGACCAGGGCCCGGACTGGGGAGGAGCCTGCAACCAAGGTATATGACCTTGACAGGAATCCAACTTGGGACCCTTTGGTCCGCCGGCTGATGCTCTATCCACTGAGCAAAACCAGCTAGGGCCCTTCCTACCTTTTTTAACCTGTATGTTCCTGTGTGTTTTTCAGTATTTAAGTGAAAGTTGACATTCCTATTAATAAAAGGCTGGTACTAAGCATTTCTACTGTAGGGTTATTGAACACAGGTCAGGGTAATTATTTCTTCATCTTTTTGAGTCTCCTTGCAATTTTAGCCTTTAAAAAACACACACATACAAACTTGTGGTTAATATTTAAAAAATAACCATTGCTAAGCATGACTTTGTTGGAAAACACCATATTCATATGAATTTCTCTTCAGAGGAGGAAAGGTAAAACTTTTTTCAAATGTATAATTCTAAACATTTATTTGATAGTTTTGATAATAATTGGTTTTCCTGTGTTAGATGTAAGTTTCTTCGTTTTGTCTTGTATTTATTAAAATTTGCAATCTGTGTGATTACTTTTTAGAATTGTTTGAGATTTGGTTGTGGTCTTGCACATGGTCTAATTTTGTAAATAATGTGGGAATTTGGAAAGTACTTTCTGTGCCTAGGGTATAATTTAAGCTTCTTCATGCATATGCTTTGAAAATTTGTCTAGGTTTTTATTGCTTTGTATACTTGATCTACCAAATCTTTCGGGATAGTTAAAATCTTCCACTATATGATGTTTTTGTCTGTCTTGCTGTCATCATGTGTTTTCATGAAATTTTATGTAATATGTATAATGGCTAATTTAAATAGATTGGATATTTTATTGATTTAAATTAAGCCTTTCTTTTCTTTTTACTCTTCACCTTAAATTCTACCTAGTCTACTCTTAACATTGCCACCTGTGCTTCCTATTCTTTGTCATTTACCTAGAAGATCTTTCCTTCTTCATGTTCATCTTATCTGTGTTGAAACTTAGGTATTTCTTATAAATAGTAGGTAGCTGGATTTCACTATTTTTGGCCAGCTAAGGCCAATTAAATTGAAAATTAAATGTGGACATTGAAGTAAAAATTCTGGAGAAATTTTATTAAGGGTCCTCCCTTCCTAATTATATGCTTCTTATTCCATTTTGTTAACAGATTGGAAAGCATAGCTTATTAACTGATTGAAAAACATAGACATTTAAGATTTTAGCTTTTACATCATGGATAAACTCATGCAGTAGCTTAGTGGTCCTAGATAATAAAAAGCAATGTCATTCTCATACACATTCTAGGATATTATTGCTGCCTTGGAAAAATTAGCTTACAATTATATTAGTTGCCCAAACAGTGATTTTTTTTAAAAAAAAAGTGATGAAATGATTGCTCTTTGCAAAAAATTGATCATTTGAATCTGTGGAATTTTAAGGTATAAAGTAGTTGATTGGTTGTTGTGAAAATTGCCTCTTCGCAACTAATGAGAGGGAAAGACCCAGTCTCCCTGGCTTAGGCAAGGACAGAAATCCCATG